CCACGGGAGGGCGGCGCCGCGGGGCACCACGGGAGCTGGGAACGGGAATGGGATGGGGGAAATGGGAGAGGGGATGGGAGCGGGGCGGGGAGGGCTGGGAGAGGGGATGGGATGGGATGGGATGGGGAGCTGGGAAAGGGGATGGGAGCGGGGAGGGGACGGGGGAAAGGGGATGGGAGAGGGGTTGGGATGGGGGAGCTGGGAAAGGGGTTGGGATGGGGGAAATGGGAAAGGGGGATGGGAGAGGGGAGGGGAGAGCTGGGAGAGCGGATGGGATGGGGAGCTGGGAAAGGGGATGGGAGAGCTGGGAAAGGGGATGGGATGGGGGAGCTGGGAAAGGGGTTGAGATATGGGAACGGGGAAAGGGGGATGGGGAGGGGATGTGGGAGCTGGGAAGGGAGAATAGGGAGAGGGGATGGGATGGGAGAGCTGGGAAAGGGGCTGGGATGTGGGGCCTGGGAAAGGGGGATGGGGAGAGGGGCTGGGATGGGGGAGCTGGAGGACAGGGGCCATGGGGAGAGGGGCCAGGGAAGGGAGAGAGGGGTTGGGATATGGGGCCTGGGAAAGGGGTGGGATATGGGAGCTGGGCAAGGGGGCCAGGGAGAGGGAGTGGAATGTGGGATATGAGGCCTGGGAAAGGGAGCCAGGAAGAGGGGCTGGGATATGGGAGCTGGAGGAGAGGGAACGTGTGGAAAGGGATCAGGGGGTGGAGGGGATGGGACACAGGGAAGAAGCCAGGGGAGGGGGTCTCAGGCCTGGGGTGAGGGATTGGGGGGTCCAGGTAATGGAGGAGAAGGCCCTGGAGCAGAGACCGGGGCAGAGGTGGCAGGGCCGGGGGATGGGGCTGGGCTGGGGGCCCGTGGCAGAGAAGAGGGCATGGGACGTAAACAGGGGGCGGCCCCAAACACCCTGCCGCATGTTGGCACAGGTGTGACACAGGGGACAGCACCCCGAGTCTCACAGAGCCTCACCTTGGCGTCATCCCATGCTCCGTATTTTTTAATAACAGCTGTAAAAATAATAAGAATAATAAAATCTGCCTTTGGAAAGGCCGGGGCAGGAGGCGGCCGCCCGCGGCGCCCCAGCCCTGTCGGACGGCAGATCGGGTGCCACCCCTTTCGCCTCCCGCTTTGTCAGGCGCCTCTCGCGTTTCGGGCGAGCGAACGCGTCATGGCTCCCGCCAGCCCTTTGCCCTGGCCGCCTGCCCGCGGGGGCGGGTTTGGGCG